TACCATCTAGTTTAGTGCCTGGCACATAGTAGGCACTTAGGAATTGCTTGCTGACTTCCACTACTGAATGAAATGAACACAAGACTTGATGCTCCTCTGTCATTGCTTCAAGCAAAAGTGTTACTGAGAACGTCAATACAGACTTCCGGTAAATCCCTAGGAAGAATGAATTGGTTTTTTTTCATCTGTGCCTTCTGTTGTAGCATAGAAATAGAATGGAGAATTTCACCTGGCAGACCTCAGAGATGATTGAGTCCAACCCCTACCTGAAGCAGAAAGTGCTTCTACAACATTCCTGACCAGTGGTAATCTGACCTCCACTTGAACATGTCCAGAGATTAGTCTGGGAAGTATGCCCCCTCCCAAGGCAACACATTTCACTTTTTAGAGAACTTTGTTAGGAAGTTTTTCCTGATGTTGAGGGGAAAACTGTAACTTGTGTCCCTAGGTTTTAATTCTTCCCCCTGGGGTTGAGCAGTGCCAGTTTTATTAATCCTTCTTCCTTTTGGCAGCCTTTCAAGCACTTGAAAACAGTGTTGTTTACCCTTAAGTGTCACCTGGGTGGTCTGTTAAAATGGAGCACTGTACTTAGAGTTAGGAAGACCCGAGTTCAAATCCTACCTGAGATATTTAGTAGCTGTGTGATCCTGGTCACTTAAACTTCCTCAGCCTCAGAGTCCTCATCTGTAAAATGAGGGATGATGGACTCAGTGACCTCTAAGGTCCCTTCAGCTCTAAAGTGATGATTTCTCATGTGATTTCCCTTGACTGATCCACTTACGACACGATTTCATGTCATGTTCATTCTAGTTAATTTTTCTTTGTCCTAGTTTTTCAGTGTCCCTCCTAAAATGTTTCCCTTCTATTCATGTTTCCAAGGTCGTAGCCACCTTTATTAGTTGCTAGGTCATGTCCTTGACTTGTCTTGAGTTTATGATCCACTGTCACTTTTAGGTCTTTATCAATAACTGATGACAAATTATATTGCCTAGGTCATGTACTTGTGTCTTTGATTTTTTTTAACTTCACAAATTGCAGAGAAGAGTATTTGTATTCAATATGGAGGGGGCATGAGAGGACTTCCTGACAGATTTCCCACAGTAAAATGATTCCTTTAACAATTAATCCTACAGTAAAAGATCAATCTGGTCCATATCTCAATTTTTGAAAAAAAATCCAATAAAAAATGTAAGTGTTTACTTTGTGTATGCCATTGGGTCCAAAATACATAGGGATAACTGTGATGTAAGGGAGTGGGAGATAATTGCAAATGAAAAGTCCAGGGAAAGTACTATGCGAAATGTGAGGAGGGAAAGATCATTTTCACCTAAAGAGAGATGGGAGTAATGGAGAAGGAAGGATCCAAGATGACTCTGATATGGTAAGCCTTGGTGACTGTGAGGATAGGGATAAACTAGAAGAATTATAAGAGAATTAGAATCAATAGAATTAGAAGAGTTGGGTGGAAGGAAAGATTTAGATGAGAAAATGGGGGATTTGATTTTGTGTATTTTGAAATTGAGTCAGTTGCTCACTTAATAAACATTTGTAAAGAGCCTACTATGTGCCAGGCATTATGCTAAGCAATGGAAATACAAAGAAAGGCAAAAGTCAGTCCCAGCTCTCAAGGAGCTTACACTCTAACAAGGGAGACAACATGCAAATGACCATGTACAATCAAGGTGTATACAGGATAAATTAGAAGTAATCAACAGAGGGAGGGCACTGGAATTAAGAAAGATTGGAAAAGGCTTCTTATAGAGAGAATATGTGATTTTAGCTGGATGTTGAAGGAAGCCAGGCAACACAGAAGGCAGAAATGAGGAAGGAAAGCATTCCAGCCATGGAGGATAGCCAATAAAAATGCCTGGGACTGGGAGACAACATCTTGTCCAAGGAACAGCAAGAAGGCCAGTATCGCTAGATCTCAAGAGTATATGGTGTAAGTATAAGGTGTAAAAAGACTGGAAAGGTCAGGGGAAGAAGCAGATTGTAAAGGGCTTTCAAAGCCAAACAGAAGAGTTTATGTTTAATCCTACCATTGATAGGGAGCCACTAGAGTTTACTGAGTAGGGGAAAAGGGTAACGTGGTTAGACCTGTACTAATTTAGAAATAACACTTGATAGCTGAGTGGAGGACAGACTGGTGTAGGGAGAGATTTGTTGCAGGGAAACCAACTAAAAAGCTGTTAACAATAGTTGAGGCATAAGAGTATGAAAGCCTGCAACAAGGTGATGGCGTTGTCAGAGGAGAGAAGGGAGCATATATAAGAGAAGACAAAATCGTCTTGGCAGTAGACTAGATTGGTAGGGATAGAGAGGGTGAGAGATCTGAGTGAGGAGTCAAGGATGAGATCCAGATTTTAAGCCTGAGTTATTGGATAGTGGTACACACAATAATAATAAGGAAGGGCAGGTTTTGGGGAAAAGATAATGAATTGTTTTGAACATGTTGAGTTTAAGATATCTGTGTATAGGACATCTAGCTTGAGATATCTAATAGGTAGTGGGAGATGTGAGATAGGAGTTTGGAAGAAAGGTCAGAGCTGGATAAGTAGATTTGAGAATCATTGAAACAGAGATGATAATTGAAACCATGGAAGCAGATGAAATCACCAAGCAAAATAGTATAGAGGGAGAAGATAAGAATGCTCAGGGCAGAACCCTATAGACCCCTTTGTTAGCAGGCCTCATGTGAATAAAGATCTGGCAAAGGAGACTGAGAAGCAGGATGTCAGATAAGTAGGAGGAGAACTAGGAAGAAATTCATATCACAAAAAGCTAAGGGGGTAGCTAACAGTATCAAAAGCTACAGAGGGGTCAGAAAGAATGAAGACTAAGAGAAGGACATGAGATTTAGCAATTAAGGAATCATTGGTGACTTTAGAGAGGGCATATTCAGTTGAATGATGAGGTCAGAAGCCTCGAAGAGTGAAGAAGAAAGTGAAAGGAAAGAAAGTAGAGGCACCTGTTGTAGATGGCCTTCCAAAAGGATACAGATACAAGAATGGGCCTAGAGCTCTGCAAAGAGTTTGGGAATAAAGGTACAGCTTTATGAATTATTAAATTAAATAACCTAACAAGTATTTACTGTTACATACTATATGTTTGCTAGGTACTAGAGATACAAAGGCAGGGGGAAAAGTCCTTGCAACAACATAGATAGATAAATATATATTATATATTTACATACATGTTATTTTATGTGTCTGTAGCATTGTATATGTATGCATCCAGGTCCCATCATGAAGGCCTGACCCCAAAAGGATCAATTTCTATTTCTTTGTTTATTGCCCTTGGACTAATGCAAGGAACTCTCCAAAGTTAATATTGAGATATAGTTTATGTCTAGGATGACCTACATGTGGGCAACAAGGTCCTAAGCCCCTGTATGGTATATAGTATGGTTATGGGGCATGAGACAAGTCTTTATTTCAGCCTGCAAAAAATGTTTAAGGCACTAAGCAGTAAAGACCTACAGGAGCCTCTAAACAGATTTTTAAATTATCTGCAGAAAAGTGATAATTTAATCAGTGGAAGTAAATAAACTCACCAATTAAAGGGTATAGAGAAAGAAGAGAAGAGAATCAAGGACAGAACCTTAGAGTACATTCAAAGAGGGTGTAAAATGAGGAACTTTCAAAGTAAACAGAATTGAGAAATTTGGGAGGCACGAGAGCCCAAAGAATGCTGTCCTTTGGAAGCCGAAGGAGAAGAGTTTCAAGGAAGGGGAAGGGCTACAGAAAAGTGAAGGAGAAAGCAAACAGAAAAAAAAAAGGCTGCTGACTTTAGTGATAAGATCATAAGTGACTATTTCAGAGGAGCTTTGGGAGCACAGCAGATTATGACCAGCTGAAGAACGAGTAGGTGGCAAGGAAGTAGAAGCAGTCAGTTTAGGTCACTTTTTCTAGTTGGCAGTGCAGGGGAAGAAACAGGGTGATAGCTTGAAGGGGTGGAAGAGCTAAGGAAAATTTGTGTTTTTTCAGGATAGTGAAGAATTGAGTTTATAAACAGGAAGACATATTTGGAAAGGACATCAAAGAGAAGAAATGACTGAGCAGTGTCGTGGAGGGGCCTGGGGTAGATGAGATGGAAATGGTAACAGGGAGAGAGAAGTGAGCTTATGGAGAGTAACAGAATACTGACTAATCATTAAAAATATCAAGAGACACAGTTCGTTTGGAGCCAAAGAGTTCTTTTAGATATGGTAAATGCCATGTGATCGGAACTGGATGGGGACGTGAGGGTTATACCATTTAGACTTGAAATACTGAGGCAGCACTTTTCATTGAAAAGAGCACTAGATCAGTATCTGAGTTTGAATGCCCACTCTGCTGCTTTATTATCTGTGTGGCCTGGACAAGTCCCTTAACCTCTCTGGTCCTCAGTTTCTGCATAAGTAAAATAAGGTCACTAGGGACTAGAGGACCCCTGAGATCTCTTGTGTCTCTGATTCTATTATCTGATGCATAAAACAAGCAAATACTTCAGGGTTAATACTTACAGTTCATTAGAGTCCTGCTGACATCCCTGTTCTAAGTTCTCTCCCAGCTCTAAGGTCCCTTCCAGTTCTGACATTCTGTGTTCTAAAATTCTTTTCAACTCTAATATTCCTTATTCTGAGGTATCTTCTAGTTGTGATATTTTATAATTAAAGTCATTACCAAATGATACTTGTTGAATCATCTAAGTAGTCCAGGCATTAGTTAACAGTTATAAACTATAAAATTCTAAATGTAAAGTGTGATTGCTTAAGTATGTTTTTTAAAATGTTAAAACACTTCTGAAGATAGATTTTATTTCAGCCTTAAATGATAGCTTCGTTTTCATCACAAGATACATAAATAACCTTGGCCTTATTAAAATGAGTCATACTGACTTAATTGACTTCAGTGGAGTTTTTCAATTGCTATTTTGATGGTATGCTTTCATAAAAAAAGTTACTGTTTACTGGACAACCTGAAAGATTTCCTCTTTATTAAACATACCAATTTCCCTAAGACACAGGCCTGATAAATGTAATGACTTTTAATTTCTTTGTTTTTGTTTTTGTTTTTTTTGCTTTGTTTCACTTGATTTTCTTTCCCACATTTCATGTGTCTAGAAGCAGTTTCTCACTCCAGTTTTAGTAGATTGCTAAAATATCAAATTGTCTTTCTTTTTTTCCCCACTTCTCACATACCTCCTCCTCACCCCCTAGAGCCTTGGTATCATATCTCCTGCTGGTTCAAAGGGCAGGCGCCAGAAACCTCACCACATTGTTACAGTTGCTGATGTACTGCCCGAGTTCTGGAAGAAAAAAATTTGATATGATTAAAGTATATTAGACTTTAAAAATTAAAGTAGGGAGTCATTATCACATTTACTCACAGAATGTCAGCACTAGGATGTATCATAAAAAAATGTAAGCTAGCTAAAATGAATGTTAGATCATGGAATGCCCACATCAAAGATAACTCACAGGGTACCAAGGCTAATCCTGTTGTTTTGAAAATGGGAAAATTCAGGCTCAGGGATGTCAATTGACTAGTTAGTGGCAGGTTCAGGATTTTAATCTGTTATCTCCTCACTGACAGAAATAGAAAATAAAATAAGAAAGCTTAAAATGGGAAAGCATGGTGACTGTGAATGAAGACAATGGAACATATAGTGGAGAGATTTTATTCAGGTAAATTGACAATATTTGGCAGTAGTTTGGATATGTGGAATAAATGTGAGGGGGGAATTAATGATAATAACTGAATGACTGGGAAGATGGTGATGTCCTCAATAATAATAGGAAAGTTGAGAAAAGGGGAAGATTTTAGGGAGTAAATGAGCTCTGTTTTGTGCATTTTGAGTTTGAGATGTCTACAGGACATCCAGTTTGAGATGTTTAGGAGGCACTTGATGTTATGGGACTAGGTAGGACTCAGGAGAGAGATTTGGACTGTATCTACAAATCTGGGAAATAGAGGTGGACCCCAGGAGCTAATGAGATCACAAAGTGAAAAAGTATAAAGGGAGAAGACGAGGACTAGGCCAAAGCTTTGGGAGATGCCACATGGTTACTAGATGTCATCTGGATGAGCATCCAGTAAAGGAGATTAAGAAGGAGTGGTCAGACAGGTAGGAGTAGAACCAGGAGAAAACAGTATGATGAAAACTTAGAGAGAAGAGATTATTTAGGAGAAGATCATGAGCAGCAGCGTCAAAGGCTGTAGCTAAGCTGAGAATGATGAGGACTGAGAAAAAGCTATTAGATCTGGCAGTTAAGATATCAGTGGTAACTTTTGAAGAGCCCTTTCATTTGAATGATGAGATCAGTTGGAAGCTAGATTGCATATCCAAGGTTTAGAATCTAATGAGAGAGAGAGGTAGAGTGAAAGGGAGTATTTTTGACTAGGTTTCCCAGCGTATGGCCTCCAGAATCCAGAAATCATGCTAGAGTGAATTCTGAGCAGTAAAGCCAATAAAAAGTCACAATAAATCATCTTCCCAACCCAGGACAGCTTAGGTCTTCCTAAGAAGAAAGGTTTGCAGACACTGGGGTGGGGGCTGGCCAAGAGTTCAGCCCAGTGTCAGTAGCAACGGCAGCAGACCAGTAGCATCCCAGAGCCCAGGGACTGAAAGGGAACCTAGATAGAGCCCCAGTACAGGAAGCACCAGAGCAGAAAGAGAGCCCCAGAGACTCCTGAACTAGCACTAGGATCAGGAATGGATGCCTTCTGGCAGATCTATCATCCATTATGCAGTTAAGGTCACAAAGCAAGGGCAGAGAAGAGCAGTCTTGACACATCTGTGGGGCCCTAGCTGAATACAAAACAAATTCCAGAAATTTAGCTGTGTGGCTCTAAGCCTAGGAGCAGAGTGGTGACTCAGTTCTAACCATTTTTGTTGTTCAGTCATGTCCTACTCTTTACGACCCCATTTGGGGTTTTTTGACAAAAATACTGGAGTGGTTTGCCATTTCCTTCGCCAGTTCATTTACAGATGAGGAAACTGAGGCAAACATGGTTAATGACTTGCCCAGGGTCACACAGCTAGTAAGTGTCTGAGGCCAGATTTGAACTTATGAAGATGAGTCTTCCCAACTCCCCACCCAGTGCTCTATCTACTATGCCACCTAGCTCAGCATAGAATCCTAGAGTGGAAAAACCATGGCAAGAGACAAAGACCACAAGGGATCCAGCAGTTCAGTCACTCTGAATCAGCAGAACCTCCCACTGGACTAACAATGACTGAGTTCATCAGCAGTCTACTAAAATTCAATGACACACAAGCCAACAGACTCAAACCAGGGTCAGAAACTTGCAGATCTCAGATCAGAAGGGTGGTGAACAGACATCTCCCTGGATCACACCATTTTGGAAGCACTGAAAACTTACAAGCCCCTAAACTGAGCTGTGCAAGCACAGATGCTCATATCAGACACTACTCCTTCCCAGAAGTGAGCAGAGTCCAACATTAACATAAAATCCTAAGTCAAAATCAGTAAATAGGTTGGAAGAATGAACAAAGAACCCAACTATACATGCTACAATGATGACAGGAAAGCTTAAGACACAAATACAAAAGAAGACAATGACTTGAACCTATCAAGCAAAGCCTCAAAGAAAAACGCAAGTTAGATGCAAGTCCAACAACAACTCCTAGAAGAAAGAGATAAAAACAGCAAAAAAAAAAAATTAAACCAAGTAAGCATGGTGGAGGAAAAACTGGGGAAAGAAATGACAGCTATCTGAGAAAGTTATGGAAAAAAAAATTAACAGCTTGGTACAAAAGAAGTATAAAACCTTACTGAGTAAAATAACATCTTAAAAATTAGAATTGCTCAAATGAAAGTTAATGATTCCATGATACATTAAGAAATAATAAAACAAAATCGAAAGAAAACGTGATTAAAAGATAGGAAAAACAACTGGCGTGGAAAATACATTCAGAGATAATTTAAGAATCATTGGACTAGCTTGAAAGCTATGAACAAGAAAAGAGCCCAGATATTATATTTTAAGAAATTGTAAAGGAAAACTTTCTAGATAGCTTAAAACCAGAGGAAAGTAGAAATTAAAAGAATCTTCTAGTTACCTCCTGAAAGAAACCACAAAATGAAAGTTCCCAGGAATGTCATAAAATCCAGAACTCTCAGGTCAAGGAGAAAATACTGAACGGAGCCAGAAATAAAAGATTAAAGTAGTGTGGAGCCACAATAAGGACCACACGAGATTTAGTAGATACCACAATAAAGAAACAGAGGGCTTGGAATATGATATTCCCGAATATAACCAAGAATAACCTGCCTGGCAGAACTGAGTATAATCCTACAGAGAGGAAAATGGATTTTTAATTAAATAGAGGACTTTCAAGCATTTCTGATTAAAAGACCAAAGGTGAACAGAAAATTTGACATTGAAACATAGGACTCAAGAAATCCATGAAAAGGTAAATGTGAATGAGGAATTATAATGGACTAAAAAGGTGAAGCTACTTACATTATTATACGGGGAGATGCTACATGTAACCATCAGAACTTTATCATCACCATGGTTCTGAGAAGGAATCTAAACAGAATGAGACAGAAGACCTGGGTATGATTCTGTTATGTTTGAATGATCAAAGAAGAGTGGAATGGATGGGGAAGAAGAATTCACTAAGAGAAGGGGAAGGGAAAGGAAGGTTGGAGAAATACCTCACATAAATGTGGTGCACAAGGAAGAATTTATAATAGAAGGGGCAATGGGCAGGGGGAGTGGTCAACACTTGACCCTCACTCTCATCTGAACTAATTCAAGGAGGAAAAAATATGCATGCATACACACACAATTAAGCATAGAAATTCATCTTACCCAACAGTGAAGTAGGAGGGATAGGGGTAAGGAGAAAATAAAAAGGAGGTACATTAAGAGAGGTAGTGGTCCAATAACAGCCACATTGTGCAATGACTAATATTGATAAACTTAACCCTTCCCAGCAATATAAGGATCTAAGACATCTCCAGAGGCCTCATGATGGAAAATGCTATCCACATCCAAAGAAAGAACTGTGGAAGTTGAATTGCTATTTTTTCTTCTCTTCTGTTGAGTTGTTTCCTCTTTCTGATAGTTCCTCCTATTGGTTTTAATTTTTACTTACAACACTACTAATGTGAAAATATGCTAAATAGAAATGTGAATGTATAGCCTATATCAGATTGTGCGCCATCTTGGGGAGGGTGGTGGGGAGAAAGGGGGAGAAAAATTTTAAACTCAAAAGCATATGGAAGTGATTATTGATAAATCAAAATAAATTAATAATTTTAAAAAAACGAAGAGAGGTAGTGGTCAGAAGCAAAATATACTCTTAAGAGGGGACAGTGTAAAAAAGAGAAGGATAAGTATAGTGAATAAAGTGTAGGAAAATGCAGAGTTAGCAGTCATGACTATGAATGTGAATGGGATGAACTCACCCATGAAATGGAAGAAGATAGTAGAATAGATTAGCAATCATAATCCAACAATGTTATTTACAAGAAATACACTTGAAACACAAAGCTGTACATAGAGTAGAATCTATGATGCTTCTGCTGAAGTTTAAAAAAAAAAAAAGGTAGGGCAATCATGATCTCAGACAAAGCCGGTTCAGCATTAGAAAAATTATAAGCATAATTGGCTTGTTGACAATAAAAACAACAAAAATCATATGATTATTTCAAAAGATGCAGAAACAGATTTGGAAAAAATACAGTACCCATTCCTATTGAAAAACACTAGGAAGCACAGGAATAAATGGAGCTCTCCTTGAAATGATAAGTAGTTTCTATCTAAAACCAAGCTCAAGCATTATCTGTAATGGGGATAAGTTAGAAGCCTTTCCAATAAGATTAGAGGATAAAGTGAAGATATCCATTCTCTCCGTTACTATTAAGTATTGTACTAAAAATTTTTTTCTATAGCAATAAGGCAAGAAAAAAGATATTAAAGCAATGAGCATAGGCTTTGAGGAAATAATATCACTCTTTGCAGATAGTTTACTTAGAGAACCCTAGAGAGTTAACTAAAAAACTAATAAAAACAATGAACAATTTCAGCATTGCAGGTTATAAAATAAACTCACACAAGTAATTGGCATTTCTATATATTACCAACAAACCCAGCAGGAGGACATAGAAAAATTCTATTTAAAATAATTGCAGGAGTATAAAATACTTGGGAGTCTGTATACCAGGGCAGACACAGGGAACTATATGAATACAATTACAAAACACTCTTCATAATACCTTTAAAATGAAGATATTAAATAATTAGAGAAATATTAATTGCTCATGAGAAGGCCAAGCCAGTAAAAGGTCAGAATATTAAGGGAATTAATGGAAAAAACAGTAAGGAAAGGAGACTAGCAACATCATATTTCAGATTAAGTACACAATATACAAAAGCAAGCTAGCGCAGTAACCTAGTATTTAGTAAACTCAAAGAACTCAGTGAGAGATCTCAGTATTTAACAAATACAAATAAATTTGACAGACTATAAAAGTGGCCTGGCAGAAACTAGGCATAGATTAGCACCTCTACAGTATACCAAGATAAACTCAAAAATGGGTACATGATTTAGATACAAAGGTTGATACCATAAGCAAATTAGTGGAGCACGTAAGAAATTACCTGTCAGATTTATAGATAGGAGAAGGTTCACAGGAAGTAAAATGGATTGTTTCGATTATATAAGATGAAAAAGTTTGAACAAACAAAACCAGTACAGCTAAACTTAGAAGAAAAACAGGAAATTAAATTTTAAAAAATCTTTGCTGCAACTTCCTCTGATAAAGGTCTCATTTCTTAAATATATGGGGAACAAAGTCAAATTTACAAGAATGAGTAAGAACCATTCCCCAGTTGATAAATGGTCAACAAATATGAATAGGAAGTTTTTAGAGGAAGAAATCAGAGCAATCTATAGCCATATGAAAAGTGCTTTAAATCACTAATAATTAGAGAAATTAAAATTAAAGCAACTCTGAGGTACCACCTCATACCTATCAGATTAGCTAAAATAACAAAAAAGGAAAATGACAAATGCTGGGGTAGTATGTGGGAAAATAGATACACCAGTGTACTGTTGGTGGAATTGTGAAGTAGTCCAACCATTCTAGACAGCATTTTGGAACTCTGCTTAAATAGCTCGTAAGCTGTACATACCCTTTTACCCAGTGATGCTGCTAACTAAGTCTTTGCCCCCAAAGAGATCAAAGAAAGAGTAAAAGGGCCTATATTATATGTACAAAAATATTTATAGTAACTCTTTTTGTGGTAGTCAAGAATTAGAACTGAGGGGATGCCCATCAATTAGGAAATAGCTAAACAAGTTGTGGTAAATTAATGTGATGGAATGTTATTGTGCTATAAGAAATATAAAGGCATAGTTTCAGAAAAAGTTGGGAAGACTTGTATGAACTGATGCAAAGTGAAAGGAGCAGAACTAGGAGAATAATTTATATAGTAACCGCAATGTGAAAATAATCAATTTTAAAAGAATTAGTAACTAATCCACTTATTGACCAACCATAATTTGAAAGACTAATTATGAAACATGTTATCTACCTCCAGAAACAAAACTTATGGACTCAGAATGCAAATTAAAACATTTTCTTCTTTTTCTTTCTTTTTGTTTTTTTTTCCCCTCCACATGGATAATATGGAAATTTGTTTAGCATGTTTATACATATTTGTAATGGGTTTTATTTTTCTTGCCTTCTCAGTGAGTGACGGGGATAGGGGGGAGAGAAGAAGGGAAAGGAAAATAATTTGGAACTGGAAAAAAAATAAAATTGAATTTTTAAAAAGAATCTAATGAAAGGAGAGGGAATGGAGGCATCTAGTATAGATGGTTTTCTCAAGGAAATTAACTTAGATGCTGTCCACATCCAGGGAAAGAACTGATGGAGTCTGAATGCAGATTGAAGCATACTTTTTCACTTTTTTTTGTTTTTTGGTGGTTTTTTCCTTTTGTTCTGTTTCTTCTTTCACCACATGACTAACGTGGAAATATTTTACATTATTGCATATATATATAACCTATATCAGATTGCTTATCATCTTGGGGAAGCAGGAGGGAAGGGAGGGTGAAAATTTTGGAACTTAAAGTCTTTCATAAAATGAATGTTTAAAATTGTCTTTATGTGTAATTGGAAAAAATAAAATACTATTTTAAAAAAGAGATAAACTGAGAAGGGGAGGAAAACTATAGATGATAGCTAGCAGGTATGATCAGATCAAGTGAAGGTTTTTTAAGGGAGACATGCTCCCATGTTAGGCAACAGAGAAGGTACCAGTAGAAAGGGAAAGTTGAAGATTATAGAGAGAATAGATTATAGTAGAGTTAATCTGTGAACAAGATGGGAAGGAATGTGATCAAGGGTACACATCAAGGTCATTGCTTTGGAAAGGACTGAAGGGCCACTACTTCACATGAGACAGATATGAAGGAATGAATAGTGGGAGAAGACACCTAAGTGACAAAAGTGCTCTGCTAATGGCCTCACTTTTTTGGATATTTGACATGAAGTCCTCAGCTCAGAAGGTGACCAGAGGTAGAGGGGGAAGTGGTGCTAAGGGAGGGCTTAGGGAGATTTCAACCTGAATTAATGAGATCTTTTAGGTGGAAGCATTAACAGAAACAGGCAAATGACAGGGAGAAGCAGATTTTGGGGGAAGTATAATAATCAATTATAGATATATTGAGCTTACGGTGTTTGTGGGACATTTAGATGGAGTAGCCCAGCAGGCCATGGAAATGCAGGATTAGAGTTCATGGCGTATGTAATCAGCAGTTACTTCTATAGTACCTAATTTTGTCAAGTTTGTGTTTGATTTGCAGCTTCCCCCTGACCATTGAAAGAGCTGACAGGGATTTGTGCTCCATATACTTCTTATGGTGGGCATAGTACTTTACATGTGTTTCAAATTAAAAGGGATTGCAGCTACTAAATTCAATAACTATAGAGAAAATTTGAAAGTAGTAAAGAAGCAATATATAACAAGGGCATAGGGTCTCATTCCATTACCCTCAAGGTGGCCCAGATCCATCTCTCTTCTTTTTTTCTTAATTTGTACACCTTCTACTTTTGAATGCCATAAAACTTCTTTACTTCTTCCATTAAAATCATGCACCAAACATCCTTCATCTTTCATTGTGGTTTCTCCAGTTGAAATCATCTTCTTTTCATTCTATTTCTTTCATTCTCTGTTTGAAAAAAAAATCTATAAGTTATTCTACTTCTTTATTTTCCAATTGAACACTGATCCTCTCTTCTGAAATTCATTGACACCAGTTGTCTCGCATCATTTATTCTCCAGTTAAGGCAAGACACCAGTCTCATTTCTTTATTTCTGCAAATGGAAAATGGAAAAAATACACTTTCATCCTACAGTTAAATCAGTACACTAACAATCCACTTCCTAATTTCTCCAGTTAGAATACATAACAATCATCCCACTTCATATCATTGGGGGTAAAGTTTTATTGTATGATTTACAAACCAGCTGAAATATCTTATCATGCCAAAAAGGTCAAAACTGTTTCTCCAGTGGTTGTACTCATACACTGGTCTCTTCTATACCAGGACTTACCCAGGGACATAACTTAACCAGTAAGTTAACTGATGGAGTATTTTGTTTGCAAAAATTCCATTAGTGCATTATTAATCACATTAGAAATTTCAAGTTCTCCTTGAAATTTGTTTTTTTTTTTAAAATAACTAACACTGGTAATGTTGTCCTGCTTTGCTCCCAAGTCCCTATGCATCCTCTTCTCTTCCAACCCAGATTTTGTGCTAATTGTTGTTTTTCTTTGTTTCAATTTCAGTGGTAGGATTGGGATCGTGGTGCTTCCATATGACTCTGCAGTATGAAATGCAGGTCAGTAACACCAACTAGGTCTGAACAGGAATGTATTTCCCTTAATGCATAGCAGTGGTGAATGCTGGGAAAGCCAAAGAAAAGCACCCCCAGACTCTCTTCCATTGCTGCATCCCCCACCCTCACCTCCCAAGTTTGTCTGTCTATTGGAACTTGTTTTGGGAATTTGTATATCTGGAAAAAGTGAGACTGACTGAGTGGAAGGGGTGAAGAGAAAATTGGGTCTACACTTACATAATTCCATAAACCAGTTTGTGGTGGTGGTGTGTGTCAGTGCCCTGGGCTGGGAACCAGAAAGGCATCTTGTCACTTCTCCCCCCTGGGCCTCAATTTCCCCATCTATAAAATTGGTGAGGATGGGGTGGGGTACGGTTTGAACTAGATCTAGATCACTTTGTATCTGTTTTGTATATAACTATACATAGATACATACATGTTGTCTCCCCCAACTAGACTACTAGCTCCTTAATGTTGGGGGCTATTTTCACTTTTGTCTTTGTATCCCCAGTACCTAACCTCAGTGCCTACCACATAGTAGGAAGAAATGCTTTTTGATTGAGATTGATTAAGTCTAAGGTTTTTTACAACTCTGACATTCTATGTTTTAAGTTCTAAAGGCTTCCCCAGTTCTGACATTCTACGTTGTTAGATTACATCAAGTTCTCACTTTTCAGGTTCTGTGTTCTAAGCCCCTTCTAGCCACGCACAGCTGCCAAAGTGATTTTCGTTAAGTGTGAATGTCTGTCACTAAATAGCACTTGTTTCTATTTTGGCCAGAAATCCTGAAGGTCTTCCCCTCCTAAATTGCTTTTTTTTTTTTGACTAGGTAAAAAAGGCCATTCTTTGCTTCATTTCTTACCTAGTCTTAATCACTGAATGGGTATTGCCTCAGACAACTGAGACTTGGGAAAGACTTTAGCTTAAAAAGACCTAAGGTCTCCCACTGCATCCAGGGCCATCTCCAGTTGTCCTGATCTGTATCTTGCTACTGAACCCAGATGGGTCCAGAGGAGAGAGTGAGGCTAGTGATTTTGCCCAGCCCTCCCACACTTAAAAGCAATTCACTTGCAAGTCATGACATCACCTTCCCAATGTCATGGTCCTCTTCGAGGACAAAGGACAAACATCAACAACAACTCAAACTCCAGTGGCTCATTTTTATGCCTATAGGATACATCCATATATATATTTGACTTTTAAAATCCTTCAAACCTAGCCCCAGCTTATCTTTCCAGACTTATTTTCCATTACTCCCCTTTCTGCACCATGTGGTTAAGCCAGACCTGTCTTCTCTCTGTTCCTCACCTACAACACTCTTATTTTTCTTCTCTATATTATTGGACCTGCTATCCCTCACACCTGGAATGCACTTCTTTCTCACCTCTGTCTCATAGAAGCTCTTAATACTAAATCCATCCCAGCTTCCAGTTCTTAAGTCATTTGGCATTAACATTAAAAAAATTACTTCAAACCAAATTTCTATGCCCAATTTTTCTCAAAAGCTCCAATCCCGTAGCATCAACTGTCTGCTGCACATACCTACCAGGCTGTTCTATTAGTATCTGAAATTCAAAATGTCCAAAGTAGAATTCCATGTTTCCTTCTTGAACTGTCCGTCCTCCAGACTTCCCATTTCATCCTCTTGGTTAACCTCATTCATATGACCTCATAGTTATATGACTCTGCCTACTACCTCCCAACAATGACTAAATCCTGTTGATTCTACTGATATAACATCTCTTGTATCCATCCCCTTATTTCTACCTACATAGCCACTACTGTGATTCAGGCTCCTTACCGTTTACCTGAACTATTATGATAACTTTCTAATTCACATTCCCTCTTCTTGAATCCATCTTCCACATGAAGTTGTTCCTGATCCCTCCTCAAATTACCTAATATTTCCTTGTCTGTGTATATGTTGTGTTCCTCTGGTAGCATCATCATAGTCCCCCATAAGGGCAAGAGCAGCAGTTGTTTTTGCCTTTATGGACCCAGCACTTAGCACATTGCCTGGCACATTATAGGCACTAATAAATGTACATTGAATTAACAGCATCCAAAGTGTGAGCTTCACTTTTAACCGCCTAGTTACAGGTGCTCAAAAATATATAAATATTTTCTCCTCTGTAAAACAGGACAGTAAGATTCTACCTATACTCAAAGAATTACTGTGAATGAAATGACATATATAACGTACTTTGTTAACCATGAAATACTATATAAATGTGAACTTTTATCACTGTTATTACAGTTACTATTAGAAGCTCATTAAATGCTTTGTTATGTACATGAATTGAATGAATTTCACAAAATATTAGCTTTAATTCCCATTAGTTCAGCTCTTACATATTTATCATCCTACTCCATAAATGATTTTAGTTATTCATTATTTTTCAAAGCAGAAAAAAAAGTTTTTTTTAAAAAAAGTATATGGCAGATCCACCAAGCTAGACACAATAGAAAGAGTTACAGTGTAAGAAGAAAGATTGTGACAGAGATGCCCAGTAATTCACAGGTGGAAGCTAAGAAACGAATTAATAACAAGACTCATGGCCTCAAGTATCAGTACATAAATGCACAGAAATGGGAACAAACAAGGTGAACTAGAAATCCTGTTATGTACTCAAATGCTCAGTGATATCTGTGAGCTCCTCAGTTTGGAAGGGGGGCGGTCCTTCAGTGATACAGATCACTGCTAAGACTGTTGTATCCCATGTTCTTATGTCACACAACAACATGGGTAGAGTGGTAGCATAAAAAGATAGGCCTTTATTTTTGTGGGAAGCGCAATTAGGGTTCTTAAAGGAGCTTTGCAATTTCCCAAAGACATTCCAGTCTACTCACCACTTCTTTTCAACTCTGAACCCACCTTAACATCCATCAGCACTGTGTGTTCGAGGTATGCATATTGATGGACAAGCTTTACAGGTTTTCTTTCCAAATGCAGGTGATAATCCAGGCAATTGATATTCTTCATCTATTTGGACTTTCCTATGGGGATGGTCAGGCCAGACTTTTTTTGAATGCTTCTAGATCTCTTCCAGGAAGGTGTGCTATGTTTTGGGGACATAATATCACCAGCATAATGTCTTCTACAAATGGAAACATCTGGAGGACCTCACTATCCACAGAATAAATCCTCTTCAGCTTGGCCTCTGAACAGGATCTCTTCCATCTCTTTATAGTGTTTGCCACAAAGATGGAAAAAATCATGGAGAATATACATCTCTCTGTTTTATTTTTCACCTTATACTTAAGATCAGAGGTTCGTTGAAAAAAGTTATTTCTGTTGTGTTTTTCAGGGAATCTTGAATGATTTTTTTGAAGTATATGGATGGGAGACACATTGTTAGAAAATAACATTATTTAAAGCAGCATTTTGTGCTACTGGATTATTTTTTTCATAATCATACAATAAACAATGTGATCTCATATTCTCAACATCTTGTAGGCAAATAACAAGCATTTATTTAGAGCCTGCTATGTGCTAGGTACTATACTAGGTGCTGAAGAGGCAAAGAAAAAAATAATCCCTACCCTCAAAGAATTTATATGGTAAAGAAGTGGTCCATTGATGAATATCACTTTGAAAGCCACCTTGCGCCCTGTTACTACTCCAACAAGGACGCCTTAGTCTGTGTATATATGACTCACATAAAAAATTGGGAGAATTTGTGAGTGTGTGTGTGTGTGTGTGTGTGTGTGTTTAGGTAGTTACATAGCTGCTAATCTTCTCAGTTTTGTCTTTTTTGGTATTAACGTGGTCCAAAGTTTTTTCTACTCTTTTAGTATCTTCTCCCCTTAGATTCTTTGCATATTGATCCTGAAACACTTTCACAGTTGTGTCTCTGAAGGCAGAGTCAAGATGATGGAGTATTTAATAGCAGCATAGCATACCTCCCCATTAAATTCTTCCGCAAAGATCTAGAAAATGCACTAGACCTTAATTCTGATGAAGAAAATGAAAAAAAAAAGTCATAGTAACTTTTCTGGCCCAGAGAAGCTTAGGGAGACAGAATGAGAGGTCTGTGGACACAGGACAAGCTTTGATAGGAGTACACTGTTCACAGAGCATTCCAACACCCAGGAACGAGAAGAGAGCTAAGGCTGGGCCCCAAGGCGGGAAGTGCTGGGGCAGAAAGAGATCCATGAGCTAAGACAGGAACAGGTTCTGTCTGGCAAGTCGGTTGCTCACTACACAGTGCTGGGTCACGGATCCTGAGTGGAGGTGACCTCAAGGGAGAGTATGGGCCCTACTGTGTAGTAAGCAACAAATAAATTTCAGAAGCAAACATTTACAGTGTGACTCTAATACCAGGAGCAGAAAAGGAATTCAGCACTGAAGTTGAACACAATGTTGAAGCCTACAATGGAATAACCAGAGCTGGAGTCCCAGATTAAAGGGGAGCCTGCAGTTCGGTCACTCTGAACCTGCGTAGAGCCTCACAGTTGGCTAGTAGTGGCTTAATCCAGTAGCAGTCAACTGAGATTCCTAACCAGGGTTGAGCCAACAGACCCAAACCCGAGTCAGGAACTTGCAGAGGTCAGACCCGAAGGATCTGAACAGACCTCACCCCAGATCACATCACTTTGGTAGCACTAAAAGCTTATAGACTCCCAACCTGAGCTGAGAAAACAGTGGATTATAAGAGAGCAGAAGCTCAAGCCAGATATTTCCTTTCCCACTTCAACCACTCCTGAAGTATGTAGAACCCAATACTAACATAAAATCCAAAGTTGAGAAGTAAGCTAGAAAAAAGAGAAGACAAAAAAAATCCCATCATAAAGAGCTATTATGACAACAGGAAAGCTCAAGACACAAACCCAGAAGAACAAAATTACTCAAAAACATCTATAAGCAAATGAGAGCATTAGGGGAGAAAACAGGAAAAAATTTGAGAGCTATGAGAAAAGACATGAAAAGAGAATTAACACGTTGGAACAAGAGGTTGAAAATCTTACTGAAGAAAATAACTCCTTAAAAATTAGAATTGATT